TTTCACACGCCATATTTAAAGTTGTCACCAAAATATCAAAATCAATTTCTTTATTTTTGTCACTTGAAATCCTCCCTCCTTTATTTGTACCACTTGGTATCTGTCCTTTAATTGTAAAATTCATGTTTTTCCAGATTGACATTGATTATTGAAGAAAGAGTCCGACAGACAAATACGTAAAACTGTGCAAGATTTATGAATTAGTTTGATTATATTATCAGAAAAGGGATTTGGTAAACGGAAAGGTACTAGACATGTTGGGTGTGAAACTATTGTATTTCGTTGTCTATTTTGATAAATTTATCGATAACATGATTGAATGAAAACTTCTTTAAATGGTTACCATCTCTGCATGCAATTAAATCTTTAGAATAAGCTACTATAGCCTCATCCTTGTAGGGTTAGAAGCGTTTTGAAGACAATGACGTCATCAAACGACGCCGTCATTTGAAAATCGCAATCTTTTGTTTTAGAATTTTTTTCATTAAATTTGCGATATGCCCTAACTCAACACCTACCTCAACTCAAAACCTATGATAGGTTTGTTAAATAAATAAAATGTCTTAGAATATTTAAATGAAGAAAAAAAAATTCTACAAGGGTCATTTGATGTTAAGTAGTGGTTTAGTGGTTATACGATGGAATCCTATAAAATTTAATAGTTTTTAAAATTCTATATAAAATTACAACTTAAAATTAAATACCAGTGTGAACTTGCTTTTGTTGGAAAAAATGTCGTCTGCTAAAACTTGTCGTCTGACTGGTTTTCAGGAAAAAAGGTACGTTATAATCGATCCATTGACCTGCTTACATATTACATGAAGAACGCATATTCTGCTATTATTCTGGGGTCGTCGTATTTCAATTGGATTTCAATTTGGAAATTGCAAAATGAACGCAATGAACAACATTGTAATAAAGCCATTTATTTTATAACTTTGATTTAAGCAGACTACCGTTTAGATAGACTGATCTGTTTTAAAGCGATGACACAGATAAGTCAATGAGTTACAAGCGTTTCACGAGCGTCGGTCGAGTGTCTTGTAGTTACTTCCCCTGACGCCTCTCAAAATAAGCGGGATTTCGTCTGCCGGCTGGAGGCTTATTACGGACCCCTACTAAGGAGCTAATTGACACAAAATGAGGGCTGATTGCTTCCTGAGAGATGAGGGTGGTGATTCACATATATCCCTGCACATCTGGACATACTAGTAGGTAAAAGCGACCGACAAATTGAGAGACGGAAACTAATCAACTTTAACTGTCAAAAATATGAGAAGTCAGAAGAAATTAAGTTCTTGCTTTGGTTCGGGAGCTGAGGAAGTACGGCCCAGAATACCTGTGATTTTTCCACGAGAATGCGAGCTTTATTAATTACAGACGTGTTATTAAAAGATGCTTTATTTCTTGTTCTTGAAATAATTAAAAGTATGGCACTGAGCGGAAAGACAGTAAAATAATTAAATCAAGTGTCGATGTTAAAGCTGACACTAATTGCCGTACTGCCGGACATAATGACCGCAATGAATTGGATAAACCATAAAAGCCGCATGACTTTTGATTTGACGTCTGGGCAGCTAAACTTGCAAAAATCATGAAACAAGGCTTTGTACAGAATTTGAAATATATGTGATAAATTTTGCTAAACCCTTTTCATGGTCAATTGTTTCCGGATTAACTCACCAAAATACTTAAATAAATGTCCCCCCTTCCCAATTTTTATTTCCACAAAATCTTCGTTGTGTAATACCTTTAAGAGTGTTGTGAAACGATGTGCATTTTTATTTGTCGAATAACTGCAAATACATCATGTGACACAGTTAAAAAGGAATTTGCAAAAGAATGAAAATGAATGAAAATACATAAATAAACTGTAGTTTGCGAATCTGATACAACAATTAAACCAGGGCTTTAATTTTACAACAATTCTCTATGTTTAAGAACAAAGATTTAATATTATGTTTTCTTTTAATTATACTAACTCCGTAACAGCAGTTAGTTCGCCTTTTGACCAACAGTTCGTACTCCATGTACATGTCTAATTATCTAAAATATATTACAAAGAAACAAGCTACAAATAAAAATAGGACAAAATGCGAAAATAATGATATTGCTTATTTGATATTAATTATCGGCGAGATTTTTCAAGTATATAGGTGCAAAGATAAAAGCATACATGCAATATTTCACACATATTATCAATATGTAACAGCGTCCCTGCGACTTTGATCCGGCGGCAAATCAAAGCATGCCGTTAATTGATCACTTATTGGATATTGATACTGATGCAGTTGTTTTTATCGATTATTTCCATGTGTGCATACATAAATTGAATTGCGTGATAATGAATTCATTAATTTTTATATGCGAAATGCATTAACACGCCGGCTTGATGACCTTTGAACTTTAGCAGAATCCTTGTGAAAGTATTTATTCACGACCTTTAAACTGATGCCCTTTCCATAGTCATATATAATAACAGTATTTAAAAGAAGTTCAGAATATGAATTAATTTTGTATTTCGGAATATATATTTATACTTTCTCTAAACAGATTGTTCAGTAAGGTCTAAGTATAGGTTAGTGTTTAATAATACGTATTAACACAAAAATAATTGGTCAAGCGGGCCGCAGACAGGCGACCAATTATTTTTGTTAATTCGTATTATTAAACATTAACCTATTGAATGATCAACATTATTTTTCAACCAAAAACAAAGCATTTCTCTAAACTGCTTATAGTTAGACTGGTAAAACGACTGATTAAGTAAATTTATTTAGAATGTATATATCATTCGACCAATGAAAGATAATAATATGATAATAATAATAATAGTAACTTTATAGTAAAGTAAATAAGCAGGGTAAAATTTAGTTAGATATACATGTATCATTTGATCTATGAGAAACATTTATATATTATACATTGTGTAATCATTAATAGTACAACGTTTGGGTTGCTGGGCACCATGAAATCCTTACTAGCAAATCACTTTATGAACAGAACAGAACAGAAAACCTTATACATGTACATTCATGATACTTTTCAGACATAAGCAAAAATAAGCAATGAATGGTTTTTGTATTTTCTGATCGCAAGATCAGATAAATACATAGCTAACATCCACAGTCTGACACAAAATTTCCCAACAGTCCTAACAACGCAAAGTAGTTCTCACTCAAAACTGCTTAAAAACCACCAATTTAAAAGAAAGAATAATTTTTAATGTAGGCATTTAACGAATTACAGTGCATTAAAAGTTTAGATTAGTCAATAGAAATATGAGGTTACAATCACAAATTTCGCGGATGAATATCTTTTTACTCAATGAAAAATGTTCGGCTATTTCCGTAAAGCTTCGGATTATCATGAATATCATTTTAATCAATGAAAATGCTATTTTTAGCTATGCCGATTACCGAATACTCCAGAGCGTAGTACACAAATAAATCTGACTGTCGAGTAGTGGAATATATACATGTCGGACTGTTGGCGAGAAGATTTCCGATAAATTATTTTCATCAGTGTTAAACAACACGTTTACCGTGAACAAAATACCTCGAAATTAATAAGGATTACAAACACGAAATGGAAGTTCTCAATTTAGAATTACATAATGTATTCGTTTTTATTCAAGGTTCATATGTATAACTTCACCGTGGTGCAGAGGTAAGCGGTCTCGTTGAGGGTGTGATAGGCCTATGGTTCAAATCCTAGTCGAGGCAATTCTATTTTTTTCATGCAAAATTCCATATGTAAATCTCAAACTGTTATAGAAGAAAATCAAAACGCTGTCGCTGCGTAAGATGAATTATAGTATATAAAAAAACTTTATACAGGAAAGTACATACAGATAGTCAGTATGATTTAGATTGCAAAGATCAGAAAATACCACAGAGCTGCAGCCCTTTGATTTATTAATATTGTGTTGCATTTGGATAATAACCGGACAAAAACAGGTGGCAACAAAGTTTGTCCACTTGTCCCAAACGTTTCCATTATTTTTTAACGTGAACTTTAGTGTCAAAATACGATTTATAACACTTATATGTCGTGGAAATTGAGAACAACCATGTTTGAATGTAAAAAAATATCATGTTCTTCTTCCATAAAATAACATAGCATAATAGATAATCATTTAAATGGCGATATTATTTAATTAAAATAGTTGGATACCTTTATATGTGTATACATGAATAATAAATAAGTTATGGGTGTTGGGGGAAGGGCTGGATGGGACAAGAGAATCGCATGTTTTATTAAAATGTACATGTAATTATTTTAAGACTGTTTTATCTAAACATTCTGTGTGGAAAAACTGTGGTTGCTTTCAAAATTGAATGTTCTATATAAAAAAGACGAAGATATTTATAAGCGGCATGTGTAGGACAAATGTCCGCAACCATTTACTCCTATCTATTCCTTTAAAAAACGCCGGAAGTGGTTGTTCTTTAAGTTACCGTAATATAAGTATACGTCATGTAGGACAGTATATAAACATGTATAAGATATGGCCTTGCATCAGTGAAACCTATTTTATCATAGAGCATACCTTTTTGCAAGTTCTAAAAGTCCGAAGAGTGAAAATGTCTTTGTCCTTAACTATAGCCATTGAATTTTAATGGTCCTTAAAATCTAAATAATAAAAAACGACAGTCATTCCTTGGCAAAGAATTTTCAACTCTTCAGATTAGAAAAAACTTTCTTTTCTTATCAATTTTAAAATGGATTTAGCAGAGACATAGAGACATCTCTTGCTTTAGGGCACCATAAATATTTTTCATTGAAAACAAATGATTTGCAGCAAGAAACAAACACAGTAATTGTGTAAACAACAGTATGTAACGCGTAATATGGCACTTATGCTTAAAAAAATGGCGCCATATTCGAATTCCATAGTTATTCACAAAATTGCAGTGTAAGATATCCTTGGAAATCAAAAGTCCAAAATACCAAAAGGATGCAACTAGAAAATAAAGATAAATGAAATAAATACAGAGTAGTTTAACATATTTTTTTTATTTCACATTTCACAACACAATATCAAAATATCACAATACGGCATATTGAACACATTTAGTTTGAGCATTTTTCGTGTAAACACATAACATTAAAAGTTACTTTATTATAACCATATTAGAATGGTCTCCAGACTTGTTTCTGAGATGGTGAATCGCCTACACTAACCGGAACTCTCACCGGAAGTGACAGTTTAGAACTAGTGGATGGTTTAGTTGATTGCGAAGAACTTGGTTTGTCGTTGTCGTCATCATGTTCATGTACAGACTCATCGGAGCTGTCACTTAAACAATGTGAAGTTGTTGAGATGTCACGCTCCTGTTTAACACGTGGTACTTGCATTAATAATGGTGAAAATGCACTGTAAAAACCACTGTCCGTAGAAATAGCACTCGAATTTGGTGATTCGACCTTGACCTTCACAGGCGTGCTTGTAGCACTAATGTCACTTAAAACACTCAAGTCATTCACGGTACTGTAGTCATTTCGGTAAGATTCACTGCTCAAAGGCTGTGAATGAGAATATCCCATTTTATGCGCGAGATTCGTACGCACGCGCAATACCATGTCATTCGGATATGCTCTTGATGTTTCCATATAACGTACAGCCTCGGTTGCGCACTCCATGTAACCCTCACGGTACCTCTGAACAACGCTCGTGCTGGCAGCCATAGCAGCCGACAACTGTTGGTGGTGAATCTGACGTAGATGGCTCACTGTCATCTCTAAGATATCTGCTTTGTCGAGTTTTGACACCTGAGTACCTCCCTGAAAAATATATAAAAATTTACATTAGTCACTGGTGATAAATTATATAGATATCAATTTAATTCACTGCATTTAAACTAACTGTATCCCATAATCTTAACCAAATCTAAATGTCTTCACTGTTAACTACATGACAAAGACCAGATGCGGTATTATGAGATAATCTTTTACTGATGTGACAGAATGATTGGCTTATTGTTGCTTATTGTAATTGTTTTATTCAATTAAAATATCTTGTAGGATGAAATAAAATTAAATGAAAACTATAATATCATTACGCTTTATAATAAACCGTACATTTACAACAATAGAGATTAAAATATCATTGTAAAGTTGTTAACTAAATTGTAAACTAAATTCAGAATTTTAATATATTCTGGTAGAATAAAGTAACAGAATTACAACTTACATTTTGTTTTATGTTTTCCAATAGGATCGATTTCAGCTGAGACAGACAGTTGTTGATTCTTTCTCTTCGCTTTCTTTCAATTAGCGGCTTCTTTATCTGTGAAAATAAATAAATAAATAAATTTTAACAACTTAATTCTAACAACATTAATATTTCAAGAATATGTATAACTTAATGATATTTAAAGATTTTAACAATCAAAATACATTTGGTTATTTTTCTAGTCATTTATAATCAGTTCCTAAGCATGTCATAAAACGTAGCTCTTTTTACTATTCTTTTCGAAATTATTGTTTACATACAAACAGTTTCCTCTATTTGGAGTAAACCGGAAGTAAATAACATTTAAGAAATGTGCATTAATTCTTTTGAAAAAAGTACATACCTTTCTAAGATAAGAAGACGAAGTGTCTGGTCGCACTGGTGAAACTTTTGTGTCGCACATTTTAGATTTATCCATGAAAAATATAACAGAAATAATTCCAAAGTTATTTTTCCGTAATGTAGGAATGTTTCTTCGTGTATCGGTATTCCGAGTATGATCCAAAAAGTCAAATTCCCACGTATTTATGCCCTGATGCGCGTGGCTGTATCGGAATGTAAACATAACGGTCCCGTGAACAGATGTCGATACTCTCAGCCAATCACAGCGCGCTTTACATTCACGAGTCATTGAGCACGCGCTTCCGATTGGTCCAACACGCAGCAGACGATAAAATCTCGAAATGTAAAAATAATCTGATGACAGACGCATTCTCTTGGCACGTGCCACGCTATAGTAAACGGTACAATATGGATATAATTTTTTCTACTTGAACAATTTTCTATTATTCTGAAAAGTAATTATGCCGGCATTAATGTCACCAGGTAGGAAAATTAAATTCCGACAGACGAATTAATTAAATCAGTATAGCTATTTTGCTGGTTGTGTATTTCTGAAAATATTAAACATCTGTCCCGTTCTTCTGTTTGACACTTGTTTATATCCGCAACGGAGCCAAAGAAATAATAAGAAAAAGAGGAAAGTAAATTAAATTTACGAAGAAAGACGTTTGCTTAACCTATCCTAGACTCTTTTATATACACGGCATTTCTTGAACATAAAGAAAATGCTTGAAAATCTTGTAAAGAGAAAGCTTAAAAGAGTCTGTCGCAAATTTACTATAAGGTTTCCAAATTACAAGAAAAATTATTGTTTATAAAGTCATACATACGCTCTCTATCTCAAACAACAATAACAACAATTTGGATGCATTCGCTGCGTACGAACATCATATTGCCATCATGATTATTAAATCTATGATATTAATAATGAATTCATAAACATTGATAGCTAACAATTTGTTAAGTTTAGTATATTGTTATATTTAACTGGAAGATACGAACGCTTGTGATTTTTTTTCTGATGTGAAACCGGAAACAATGTCTTTCAAAGTACATGTACCTATACAAAATTAACAATTTAGAGGACAAGTTATTCATTTAAACCATTACCCTGTTGGCGGCAGTAGATTGCCCCGTGCGACAATTGCAAACCGAAACCATCCAGCACATCCGGGCCGTCTGAACTTGATTTACAGCGTTCGCTTTTTATTCAGTATATATTTTAAAATTTTCCCCTAAATATGACAAATGGTTTTGTCCGGATTGAAAGATAGACAAGTTTATTTTAAAAAAATAGCGTGGTAACGGTTTAATATTGTATTGTTCTGAATAACAAAAACATGTTTCTATTCTGTTCAGTTCACATTTCGAAAAAAGCCCGTGCAGTTTCTTCAATATCACTTTTGAGATGTATTTTAAGAAATTTATTAACTAAGTCAATGCCATGTACTTATAAATAATATCTTTTCTTGTATTAATCTTTATATTTTTTTTCTTTTAAAACTATTTTTAAATGAAGATTTGCGTTGCTATGACCATTTCTGTTTGTATAAAAAAAGAAAAGTTGCCGGGTAACTCTGTAACCATAAATTTCTTTCTACAGTTTTTTTAATCAAACATCGGTCAAATGTTAGTAGGTCATGTATAAACCTGTAGTTGAATAAATTATTATTAATATATTATCACTATGCATTTCATACAAAAGAAAACTGTTTGTTTAATTATTGGATATAGCTGTATATCGCGTCTATGCTAATTTGAGAATCCCTTGACATAAAACGAGCACCGCAAGTATACGACGCACCGCGGACTAATATTTTGATAAAAAATTCACACAAGTGTTTCGGCTGGGCCCTTGATCTATTGTTAATTTTATTATCATAGTAAGGGTCTATATCTAGGTAACGGTACAAAATCTCTTTCCCCCTATTCAGCTAAACCCAATAATTTGTTTATCGTTTGTGTTAAAGCCTAACACTTTTGTTTAAAGACAAAGTCGGAGTCCCTTATATCATATTATCACTGACCGGTACGAGCCTTTAAGGGTTTATTTACACTTGTTTTATCTATAGAAAGATAGTGTAATGCGGGATCGCACCCATGTTTTCGATGTGTTTAATATTTATAGAAGAAGTTATCACTGTCTTTATCAGGCAAGGCGGGCGTCTTTTAAGTTACAAAAACACCGCTATTGGGAGGTTATCTTTGCCGATTATCACTTTTTTGCAACAACAATGGTCGACGGAACTTCAGGTAAATATACCGCGTGTTTTATTTTTAAATGAAAATATTTCGATAAGGGGAATCAATTGTCGGAGAAATCTGCCCGGGCGAGTTGAATGTTGTAGGATTCGAACCCCTGTAGGATTCGAACTCCTAAATGTCAAACTAAAGGTATCACTAAATCAACAACAATCACTCACAGAACATATCATAACAACTTTGATCTTACAGGGTCTTTCAAATAGAACTAATTTCTATTTGAAAAACCCTACTTCCTTATTATCATTATCATTATCATTATCATTATCATTATCATTATCATTATCATTATCATTATTATTATTATTATTATTATTATGTTTTGAAGGTGAAAAGACATTACTTCCAAACAAAATGGCAATGGAATCCCGTTAACCATACGACCGACCCAAAAACATTTTCATAGCAGTCAAAAATATTTGTTAAAAATGGTCTGGTAAAAAGCAGTTTATTTCTTAAGAATATTTTTTTAAGTTAAATAAAATGTTATTCCTATTTACCCTACCAACCCTATTTTCCCGCTTTTACCAGAACCTCTATATAATTTTATTTTGGCCAAAACGATATCGATTTACCGATATTTTTCATTCCTAAATCATTAAGGTGAAAAACACCTTTCATAAAATCATCAAAACATGTTTTACATATTTAATTTTCTTAAAATATATTTAGAATATTTACAAGAAGGCGTTTAAACATGTCAACCTTTTATTCCAGCTGTACCGCGATGAACGCTTTGCCACGCTTGTAACATCTGGGCTTCAAAAGTGTCAAATTATTATATTACAATATTTGACGAAGCTATAACCGGTGGCTGTGTCGGAATGATAATTTAAACGACATCCCGGTTTAACCGTAAAATTTCATAAGCAGACGACAATTTCGAGAGCGTCAGTCATCCAAAACGGAAGTTAGTGTATCGGAATGAGGGAACGGGGTAATTTCTTTACGAGGTCGCGTGCCGATAGAGGTGACACTTCGCGTCAGCGACAGGTGGTATACTTTACTTTTTTTGAGAAGATCGATGTTTAGCGATTAAATAACCCAAAAAGTTAATATGTTTAAACATGACATCTAACAAAACATTCCGTCACTTGAAAAGACGCGAGGCGTAAATCTATATCTGACATTTACTTTTTTCTCCCTAATTAAATAAACGCAGGTCTAAGACGCAGTCGTAAAACTCTTAATTTCGCGGTAGGGCTCACTTTTACCCGAAAACTCCCATGGAGACTTGCGTGATTTGAAACATATGTGTATGCATAGCGTGCAGTTGAAGTATTATGAAATTGGTTTAAACTCGCGCATTTCTGTAGCATTTTATACACTGTATGTAACAATTATGGCAGAAAAATAAGATTTTATTTTAATTCCGACTGCGTATCATAAAGAAAATATACAGGGATGTATTAAAATTTCATTTTGTAATAATAAGAGATTACAGAAAAGTCGCATCTCAAATCATCAGTGTAGGAGGGAGTGTAGCTTTCTTCTCGGTGTTTTCCTTTTTTGCATTTGATTGTAATCATATTGTGTATATATAATAGATATGCCCAATTGAAACAAAATATCATTTTTACTAAAACATAACTGCTAAAATTCGTCATATCATAAAAAAGACGTTCTTAACATTTTATTCAACTTTGTTTATTTCCATATTTCACTGTAGACTTTTTATTGGTTTTATTTCAAATTAATTCTAGTAAAGTTGTAACTTTTAAAACAATTATTTTCCATTCTGACACCTTGACCTGGACTTAAACCTGCATGTCTCCATATCAGCCAAAATATTCTAAGAAAATGAAACTTAGGTAAAAAAATGTAACAACTTAGTTTCTTTACGTACTTTCATCAGTTAGATACACTTGCGTGTCTCTTTATTTTCCTCAACAACTTATTCTTGGACTTGTAAACGTGATATAGTATTTTATGTAAAATTTGTATGCATACTATGTACTGTAAATGAATATGAATATTTCTATTTCTTTATATTTTGCTGTAAAAGTCAACAGTTATGCGCACCTAGAACAAGAAAGTATCAGCTTAAACAATAATAACAATAAATTTGTTACTTTATCGGCTGTTCCACTGACTCAGTACTGTACTTTAACAAACGAAAGCATACATCATGGTGACAATCAACAGACTGCGAATAATGATGAATCACTGTTCAATTACGACGATGAACATTATCTGTATGATACTGAGGAAAACTATGATAGTCAACCTGTCTCAAATCAACAATACATCTACACTCTGGATGAAGTTCTTTTTAATTTGCCAAAAGACTTATACATTGAAAAACTAATTCAGCTGACACATAGCAATGAAGATGAAATTGCACTATACAGAAGTATTCTCTTACAAAAAGCACAAAAATCTGACCTGTGTCCTAGAGGTTCTTTAATACACCGTCGCACGACAAAGTCTGAAAAAAGCTATCACAGATATGCAGTAGATTGTTACGCTCTACAAGAATTCATAAATAACAATGACCCTAAAATTCTAGCAAACATGTTTACATATAAACGTGTAAAATCAGAAACTATTGATGACTGCACTTCAAATCCCGACTGTGTCAATCAGAGTATTATGTTAAAGATAACTGAAATAGAAAGTAACTTACATCTTGCCAGACAGACAATAGACCGTCTGCAAGCCGAGAAACTTCAAGATAAAATCATTATTCTTGAACTAAAAGATGACATAAAACATCTAAAGCAGACTCTTGAAAACAACTCGCAGGTACGAGCACAAGGTATAAAAGAAAACGAGACAATAGCAAAAATGAAAATTGACATTGAGCATTTAAAAAGAAAGCTTAACGAAAATACAAATAGCTTAAATAGTAAGTGTTTAAACAATGGTAATATCGCATCCTGTGAATCCACTGAAATCACTAAATCCAAAAAAACACCAGAAAGTACACCGTCGCTTTTTATATCTGTGGAGCAGAAACGCCAAAAAGACGCTAAAACTCAGAGTAAAGATTCGACAAATTTGAAAGATAAAACATTGAATTATTCAAATCTTAAACCGAAAGAATCACAAACCTACACAACACAGCAAAAACAAGATGTCAAAAATCCAAAAGACTCTCAAACACAACAATTGTCATATGCAGATGTCGTGAAACAACCAATACCAGTTTGTATAAGAAATAGACAGGAAAAGGGGGATAACTCTACACAAAATGAATACCACGAAAACACCGAA